ATATTTTTGAGCTGGGCCCCATGTGTGAAACAGCTTGTTTGGTAATCAATAAGAGAACTAAACCCTATGTAGACTGAAACTAAGACATGCATCCAGGCAATTTGCTGTTGTTGTCTGATCAGGCAGAACAGGTTCAGGCTTCAGGCTTCAGGCTCTGAACCACTAAAGAGTGGATTGGGCTTCTGGTTTTCTACTGAGGAGAAATTACTTCAAAGCGGACTATCCCTGTAAAACTCCTAATATTGATGATACATTAATAGCTATCTAGCAGGCTACTTCTAGGTGATGGTTTCTGTGAATGAGTGTAATAATAAGAAAGAACACTAAACATCAAGTACATTCAATAAAAGTGAACTCATCTTTTGACCTGACCCTCCTCTCAGAATCATATGTTAACACCATGACATGAAAGACTGCTCATGTTATGGCTTTAACATGGGAAAACCCGAGTGTGTTCGACTGTGTCACGTCTATGACAAATTCAACATCTCTAATGCTAGGAAAGAGAATACATTCACACTCAAGACAGAGTAAATACAGATGCAAAAGAAATTATGATGAAGACTCCAAAGAAGAAAAACAAGTTTGTCTTTAATGGGATTCTTTCAACTTTTGGAACCAACAGAGTCACCACCCTGCATGAATACTTTGCATAGACAGTGCAATAAAAGGAGACCATGCAAAAATACACTGGTGTGCACTTAAAGTGGAAGTGATGCTTCAGTGTTGGGTTTTACTAATTAAGAGGAACCAACAACCTTGAAACCACCAGAAAAGCTACAAAAATGATTTCCTCATATAAAAACATTTGTAATAGGAGATACACAGATATAAACTGTGTCATCTTACAGTGACGCCAATGCAGAGCTCGTTGCTGTTCTGACAAGACAATAACTTTATACATCTTTAACTACCCTACTTTGTTACTTCCCTAAAATGAATCAGGATTTACTAGTAACTGTGCCAAACTGAAGTTCGGTATTTGTATTGCTAAACAGTTATCTGGTCACAGGACAAAGTCATTGTTTGACTTTTTAGAAATGACTGAGAATTGCTACACCTCAACGTACACACCTCGAGTCTGTCATCTGCTTGTACAGATAGTCTCCATGTTGTCAGGGATGATTCAGGTTATACCCAGTGTCAGCTGAACACAGTCTCTTCCTCATAGGCTGTTTTGGAAACACCCTCTTGGGTCGTTTTGTGTTGCCTTATCCTTTATACACTTTACAAATCAAATACCCCAACTCGAAGCTGAATTCTATTCTTATTTCAGTACACTCTTGTAGCGGCTAGTCTTCGTTTTGTGTTGGTCAAACACATGCTTCTTTATAAACTAAATGCTGCTAGGTGGATTTTTAATAAGCTGAATTTAACAGAAGACCTTAGCGATTTCTACGGTAGGTAACTTCGCCGGTATACAGAGAAATAAGCATGTTTACAGATGAGCCGAGACAACACCATTACATTTTGAATGGAGCTTAGTAAGCGTAAGAGCAATAGTTCAACACAGCCTATGCAGCTTTATACCACATAGTGACATTACTCACCACAGTGACATAAACTAGCTCTTTTTCTGCTGCAGCTCGTCCATAGAAAGAGCCCGCAGCTAAAAGAAGAAGCACCACAGGAGCTGCCATGTTTGCGACTATGTAACTACAGGACCAATTTGTGTTTGCTACAGCCAGCGGAATGTTGATTTGCTAGGTCTCTTGCATCAGCGGAACCGCGTTTATATCGGAAAGTAAAGCATAAACCGTAGCCTCTGAATTTAATAAAAGGATGCAAGACTTGGGAAGCGTTAAAAACGGGGATGATTTGGCGATGTGTGCACAAAGTGTATACTTAATTTTCACCTGCATTTGTCCCTTTTTATATTAGTAAAGGGGCACATTTTTGCACGCGTTTTATTTTGAAATGAGTCGCCTGCGTACACTGACACAGACTGGAAAACGGAAGTGACGGGTCAGGAAGACGTGTCATGGTGGTGTCAGTGCCAGTGCCGCTGTGGTGTGATGGTGTGAAAGTAGCTCAGTCGGTGGTCTGTACTTGCTGCGACATAAGGCTCCATCGGGTGGATGCATTTTAGCTGAATGAAACGCATCAGTGCAGCTAATCCATGGTTTTTGTGAATGGGAGATTAGTTTTTTTTTAATGGCATCTGTGAGAGATTGGCTTGTTTTTCCCAAATTAGCCATTTATGATCATCATTCATAAGACCTATCTTTATAGATGTTGGCTATATATACTGTAGCTTTAAAAAAAAAATAAGGGTGATAATGGCTGAGATTAAAAAACTTGAGTTGGTTTTTAATAATAAGCATAGAATAGTACATTGTGAATCATAATGTATAATATTATGGAATATGTAATTCAGAATTATATAAATCTAAGTTATATAATTGTAAACATACTGATCATTAATGTCATGTCATTCGCATGAAGAACTTGCATTGTCCCTCCTCAGCCACAAGAGGTCAGTGATGGCTTGGCTACAATCAGCCCGACGGGGGAGCTCTCACATGCAAGACTTTCATTGCCTCCTGTTTAAATCATTGGAGTCTCAGTTCAAACCTATAAGTACAAGGTGTTTCTGAATGTTGTTAAAACAGGGGCCAAAGACAGAATAAATAGGAAATTTATTCAGCAAACAGCCTACCAAAAAATGAAATATAGGCTAATACTATGTTTATATACTGTAGCTATATGAGTTTGAAACTGTAGTCACATAGTCAATGTAATAGTGAGACATCTGTTAAATCAACATCTGAAATCTTATGTTAATTTGAACTAAAGAGATACATCAATCAGTTAACTAAAAGATTCATCAATAATGACTCTGAGGATAAATTACTAATTTAAGTAAATTATAAGGCAAAAACTGTCAGTTATTTTCCAGTTCCAGCATCTAAAACCTGAGGAGTTGCTGCTTTTCTTTGTTGCATCACTATCAATTGAATATCAAAACAAGCTATTTGAAGACATCAAGTTGGACTTTGGGAAGTTGTGACATGCATTTTAATTTATTTTTTCACATTTTACTGACTAAATGATTAATTGGTTTATTAATAAAGTAAACCCAATAAGCAAATTAATTGCTCACTGTTATAACATTAATTGTAGTCTTGTCATAGTTTGTATATGTTTTACTAAAAATGCAAGTGATAGGTCTTTGAACATTTGGTTTTTTGGTTGAGTGTGTGTGTGCAGGTATTTAACCAACAAGACCTTTCATCTGTATTTGGCTCACAGATACCACAGTGCACTGGATCATAGTCACACTTACAGTGTGTAAAGGAGCAACAATCCTCGAGGTGTTAAAAGATAAAACATACATATGTGGAAAGTTGGAAAAGGCCTTCTGTGCTTCAGAGTAGCTAACTTGGTACGCTGATCTGCATGTGTTTACAGAGTGAAAAGCAGCTCTAATGTGTGAGGATCTGGCAGCCTAGAAACACTAAGCCTGGAGGAGTTTATACTCCAGCCACTGATCCTCAGAAGAGCTGGACACCACCTGTTAAGGTCCCATTGGGGTCTTTCTCTATGTTTGTTGTCACCACTATTTAATTGTTCTGTAATTATGACGCAATTTCATCTTTTGTTACTGTTTTCCTGAATAAATAGAATTAATAAACCCTCTGGGAACTGAGTTTTATGGATTATAAAAAAGTACTTAGTTTATTTTTTTCCTAACAACTCATATGGACAAAATATTTACACTGTAAAGTGTGGGCTGTAATCTAAAGCATTACTGAATTACTACTACTTTTAATAATGTCACTACTTACAATAACATACTGTCACTCCTACTCTACTCCACACTACTGTATGTACGATTAGTGTTAACACTAATGAGCCAAAAATGCATTAACAGCATAAGTTTATTTGTTAGGGTTAGCCTGGAATTTGACTTCTTGTTCTTCTTTGTTTTATCATTTAAAAATGATCAGGTAATAGAAATATGTAATTTTGGAGAACATTTTTGGTTATCGCTGGGCTCTGGAACCTGCTAAATGGTTACTGCAAAAGAGCTAATTTCAAGATAGTTGAGCTAGCTCCAGTTAGTCTTAGCTAATCCTCATCTGTTTCCTGTAGCTTTTTGATACAACATCTTAACAATTCAAATAATTATTTCATGTAAATGAGGCAGTAGCTGAATTCAATCATGACTTCACAAAAACATGAACAAGTCCTGCCAAAGGCTAAATAGCCATCCCTAGGTTAGGCACAACTACACCTCTCTACAGGCTATCACCTCTGCTTCAGCTATTATGTTTTTGTTTATACTAGTTTCATGCTGAACTTTAACCCTCAAATGTGTTTACAGTTTCACTTTGCCTCAGTGACATTGTGCTAGTGCTGCTGCAACTGCTACTATCATTTTGTTATTGCTAATACAGCTACTACTTTAGCTAATCCTGCTACTTATTACTGCTACTTACTGTATCTTACTCCTACTCCCACTAATAACTGTATTACTACTAGCACTAGAACAAGTATTAGGCCCCTTACTGGAGGGCCTACTGTGATAGCTAGCCTACTACTAGTTATTGGTTACTAGTTACTGGCCCCCAAAAGACCACAGTATTCTTCCTTATAAAGTTAATATTGTATTGATAATCATCAACAAGGGTTGAGACTAAAAGTTCATTCTTAGACCTGAAAACAGTAATTTGACCACAAAAATAAAATTGTATAAGCAGACACCATCCAGTGAGGAAACCCGTGACATACAGTTGAAAGCTCCAGGAAAATAAGTGGGCCCTGAGTTATCTCTGTTGTAAAACAGGCCTGCCAGATGTCTTCTCTTCAGTTGGAGACCTAATAACCAAAGTGGAGCTACTCCAGAGAATCATCTGGATGTGACAGAGTGAGAGAGTTTCTGGTAATGAGAGTCCAAGTGTCTGTCCTCAGGTCTGTTCACACTGGGGTAGTATAACATGTTGGCCTCGTGGAGTTGAAAATTAACCAGCAGTGGAAAGAATCCCAAAATATCCTGCTGAGGTAGAGGGGCTCCTAATTCGCTGATGTTTTACTTTACTGGTATCAAAATCTGCTTACATAGAAGCAGCCAACAGCTTATTTTACATGAAGTAAACATCAGTGACTTATGTTAAACCTAATATGAGAAAAGAAGGATGGCAACAGAATAGGCAAGATGAGAAAGATTGTTGTCTAGAATCATAAATATATCTAAGGTACTTTTTCAAGAATGTTGGTGCACAACTGGGCATTACCACAAATAAAAGATCCCTGAGTTTAGACTTGCAGGGACATGGAAAACACCTAGAATAGTGATAAAATAAACCCTGTGGGAATGTATCAGAACACCAAATCCCATGAGCTGCCTGCAAAACAGAAAGTAGCAATACAACAATATTCAGCTTTCAGTAATATTCCCTGGGCGCTGTTGCCAAGTTATTGTAAGTCTCTGCCAAGTACATGTCAACAATAGTGTCTTTGTTCCTTTGTTTTCACTCCAGGCTATTTATATGTGCAGTCAAATGCTTCATGTTGCTAAGTCCTGCTGGAAGTGTTTATGCTTTTGCTCATATCAAAGATTATAGGTGGTGACTAATGCTGAAAAAACACATGCCAAGCTTAATCCTGATAAATTAACACTTGTGCAAAAACAGAAAAATAGAGACCGGGATCAAACACACTGGCATGTGCAATAGCAAATATAAAAACAATAGTGTTTAGAGAGTTTACCCTTAACCTACAGCATCTATGTTTGTGTAAGGGGGCAGATATGCTCATAAAGAAACAAAATACCCCTCTGTCATCTGTACAGTCTAATCACCACTGACAGTTCAGTGACAGAGGTGTAATTTATTTGCTGGGAGATTAAGAAAAACACAATCTTGGTGGGTGTTATGGTGGGGGTCTGATTGCTGGACTGCCCCTGAATGAACATGACTAATGTCATAAAGGATCACAGGGTGAATTACTGATGTATTGACTGAGATGATCTGATAAACAAATGTCTGTGAGCTTCATCCTGGCCCTAGTTACTCCAAGCACTTGTTATTCATCACTGCATTTTCTATTTGTGTTTGATTGTGATCTATATTGGAGAAAGAAAGTTTTTTGCACCTAAATCATGTCTGGGAAGAGCTATGTCAGCAAGGAGTCACCCTGAGCCGCCAGGTGATGGCAGCATTTTCTGCAGCTTGTTACTGCACTGAGACCCTGACACATTCACTTTAGTCATCGCCCTCCTCTGAGAGACTGCTGTTTTTCATTCAACGTGAACATTTTTTAAAATATTTTCAGCAAAAGGCAGTGTAAATGTAAAGGAATATCACAGACCATTTTAACATGGAACAAACTACATTTCCTAGTGATAATAACATTAATTACCAGCAAATGCTGATACTGTTGAAGGGAGAAGAAAGGGTGAGGTATTGTAATAGGAAACGCAAAGTTCCAGCTGGAGAAGAGGAATACCCACAGGTCTAAAAATAGGCCACAACCCTCCTTATATAACAAGTGGGAGGTCAGGGTTGTTTACAGTGTTGCTGCCTGATAAATGAGTGGTTACAATCCAGCATTAAATGTTGCACATTTCAAATCTTTATTTATCTAAATGGGCTCCTGACAATCAGTCACAGAAAAAAATAAGAACATATGTGAACGCTGCATTAAATAACACAAGCCATGTATGGGTGCGTTTTTGCATAACACTTTCAATTTTTGCAGAAGGATATAAAGGAATTCCTGTTATCAAATCGGCTCCCGATAATTTGTTTCAACACAACAAAGCTGTTGGAAAATCAGGGGCGGTGCCTGTCTGCAGTGAATTATTAAATTAGCCAATGGGCGACGCCAGAGCCGGATGATGGACAGGCACTGCCCCTGCAGGACGCGCCGCCTCCCTGTGACTCTGTGTTTTATTCTGTTTATAGAGCAGCAGCGTCACATATTGTTTTTCTCCAGGATCAGTTCAGTACCTGATCCGACTGCACTGTTGCTTCAGTTGTGGCGGACAGGGAACAGAGCGATCACAAGCTGCTATAGATCAGACAAAACGGGTTACCTTTAGAGATTTGTTTCTCTTTTTGCATCAGGTTATCCATAAGGGGACTTTGCTTATCTGGAACTTGAAAAGAGAAGTGGAGAGAAATGGCAAGTCCTCCGGAGACGGGAGGACACCTGTTATCTAACGGGATGAATGGGGTGAAGAAGTGCGGATATCTGAGGAAGCAGAAACACGGACACAGGCGCTTTTTCGTGCTCCGAGAGCCCACGGAGCGCTGTGCTGCCCGGCTGGAGTATTATGAAAGCGAAAAGAAATGGAGAAACAAGTCTACTGCGAAACGGGTTATAACTTTGGACTCCTGTCTGTGCGTAAACAAACGGGCTGATGCCAAACACAAGCACCTCATCGCCCTCTATACCAAGGACGAATACTTCGCTGTGGCTGCAGACAACGAGCAGGAGCAGGAGAGCTGGTACATGGTTCTGACTGATTTAATAGCCGAGGGAAAGGTGTACGACAGCCCCGCTTCCACCTCCTCTTTAGTGGGCTTTGAAGAGGTCAGCTACGGACTTATTTCTCCTGCAACCACTACCTATAAGGAGGTATGGCAGGTCAACTTGAAAGCCAGAGGCTTGGGTCAGATCAAGAACCTCACTGGAGTGTACAGGCTGTGTTTGTCCAGCCGCACCATCAGCTTTGTCAAACTGAACTCTGAAACAGCTGCTGTCAGTTTGCAGCTCATGAACATCCGGAGATGCGGCCACTCAGACAACTTCTTCTTCATAGAGGTGGGCCGGTCAGCGGTCACTGGGCCTGGGGAGTTCTGGATGCAGGCAGAGGACTCAGTGGTGGCACAGAACATCCATGAGACCATCCTGGAGGCCATGAAGGCCATGAAGGAGCTGTCTGAGTTCAGGCCGCGGAGCAAAAGCCAATCTGCCAGCACTAACCCCATCTCTGTGCCCACAAGACGCAACCTCAACAACCTCCCGCCCAGTCAGACGGGCCTGGTGAGGAGGTCCAGAACAGACAGCTTGGCTGCCACATCCCCAGGGAGAAAGTTCACATCCTGTCGGATAAGAACGGCCAGTGAGGGAGATGGAAGCATGGCTCGGCCTGTATCCATGTCTATATCTGTGAGCGGAAGTCCCAGTGGGCGCACCTGCAGAATACTAGAGTCCTCCTTCAATCTGCATCACAGCCGCTCCATGCTGGTGTCCAATTCATCTCCATCTGCATCCAGCCCTATCAGCATGTCTCCAAGAGGGGGGGCTAGCGTCACTACTCCTGACAAAGCCAGGGGCCCTTTCAGCTGTAGCACCTCCATCTCTGGCTCCCTTAGTGACACCAGCTTCATGCTGTGTGAGGATTACAGCTCCAGCCCTGGTGAACCCAAATTCCTCTCACTGACCCGCAGCGACACCCCTGATTCCTTATCCAGCACACCTCCATCCCGTGACATCAATGACCCTTATGGCTACATGATAATGGAGGGGCCAAATGGTAGCAAGTCTGCCACCGGTGGTGAGGGTCTGGTGTTTGACAAGGTTTACAGGAAGAGAACACACTCCCTCACCACACCACGTCAGCAGAGGGTGGTCACGCCACTGTCCTCAGCCTCCCTGGATGAGCACACTCTCATGCAGATAGCCCGTGGACAGAACTTTCACTCCGTTTCACCAAAAGTGTGCTACCCTGAGGACTATGGAGACATAGAGATCGGTTCATCCAGAAGCTCCAGTAGCAACCTTGGTGATGATGGCTACATGCCAATGACGGCAGGCGTAACACCCCAGTCTGGTAAGGTAGACAACTATGTGCCCATGAGCCCCATGTGTGTTTCAGCACCAAAACAGATTGTGAACCCTAGGGTGCATCCTCAGGCAGCTGTCAGCAGCAGCTACAAAACCAATTCCCCCTGCAGCAGCTCTCTGGAAGACAATGGCTATATGAGAATGTGGGCTGGCTCCAAATCCTCTATGGAGAGCCCAGACAGGCATGGTGAATACATGAACATGTCACCTGGAAACCCACCTCCTCTCCAGACTCCCCCTGACTACTATTTGGGTGTGATGGCTGAACCTGCATCAGTGAGGCTAGTTTACCAGACTGAATCCCTCATGCTACCTGCAAAGCTCCAGGACTCCAAGATTGAAGACAACAGCCAGTATGTGTTGATGAGTCCTCAGACTTTGAGGCAGAAAGAGGGGGAGTCAGACTATTATTCAGTGATGCAGCTCAGCACAGCTCAGACCTCTCCGCTGAGCCCCTCAGTACCCTCTCCCGTCAGGAACGGCCGGGCAGAGAGCCTACCGTACAGAGGGAAACTGGGCAGGCCTAACAGGCTGTCCCTGGATACCCTGAGGACCCTACCCAGTATGAATGAGCACCCCCTGCCTGGAGAGCCCAGGAGCCCTGGGGAGTACATTAACATTGATTTCAGCATGGCCAGATTGTCCCCGCCCTCCACTGTTTCCGCAGAGAGCCAGTCTTCATCTCTGGGTTCCTGTGGCACAGGCCCAGGGAGGTCCTCTCTGACAGACTACATAAACCTGGAGCTTGGCTCACACTCACCCAAGGATGCTGACACTCCCGCTGAGTGCCTGGACACACTCCCAGAGTTGTCCATGTGCCCCTGCTCAGAGGAGGATGCAGTGTATCATCTAGATAGCGAGAAAGGCTCTCAGGGTCTTGGTGATGAAGTGAAAAGCAACTACACTGAGATGACATTTGGGATGACCAGCACGCCTCCACAGCTTGTTCCACAGAACACAGCAAGGTATGTGTATCTGTTTTGGGAGGGGGCAGATTTAATTATTTATTATTATTAATCTGAATGAAAAAATATACTCAATGAATAAATGTATGCTTTAGTGATTGAAAAGGAGATGAAAGTAAAAGACACTTGTTGATTAAACGCCTCATATTTTGTATATGGTGATCCAGCAGCCAGAGCAGCAGGGACAGAAGGCTCTCTCTGGAGGACCAGGGAGTCCCAGAAGCCACTGGGGTCTTCCTGCTTGGAGCCACCTCTTCCTCCACAGTGGACTGCTCCGCTAAGGTGATAAGGGCCAATCCGCAAGGACGTCGGCGCCACAGCTCTGAGACCTTCTCCTCTACCGCCACTGTGACACCTGTTTTCCCTTCCTTTGCTTGTGGTGACATGGTGAAGAGGCACAGCTCGGTGGAGAACATCTCATCCCGGAGCAGTGAAGGCTCCGACGAGGAGTATGGCAGCCCGGTGAACCGGCAGAGCTTGGCCGCCTACCCAAATGGACTGAACTATCTTGCCTTGAACCTACTGAGCAATAGGGATGTGGAGAAATGCGAGGACCTGGCTGGCTTCAAACCCACCAGCCGCTGCAAAGGGGGTGTCAATGGATTACACAGCACGCCATATGTGTGTTTGGCATTCAAGGAGGCTGCAACCACTGCCAAAGGTGAGTGAGGTTGATGTCAACAGTCAAATTACTAAACCAGTTTTATTTTCCTGTATGAAAAGAGAGCTGTACTGTGAAATTGGCAGCAGGGATAAAAAAAACCAAACAACAACAACAAAACAAGGGTACAAGAAAACTTTCATTTCCTCCCTATTCAAATTCAAACAGTCTCTGTGGATTTCTAAGTACATAAGTAGGTGGTGCTGATGCTGCCTTTAGGGGCTTCTGCTAAACTCGTACTTCAGAGTGCTTACAGATCCTCTAACAGCTGTAGAGTTTTTGTGGCTACAGTTGACTTTTATAGTCAAACAGCAGATCACTGTTGGGTGCTAGAGTGTCGAAAGGAAGAAGAGACATTCTTTAAATGTTATTTCTTTGTTATTTAGGTCATTTGTATTTGTAGTCTCAGCACTTCCTGTGGTATGTGAAGGCAGCATGAGGCTGCCTGTGACACGTGAGCAGACTGAGAGCGCTGAAGTAAACAAGCACCATGACTGAGCATTGGCTGCTGCTGTTGTGGGCCACAGACACCAAAAATACACACTTCAAAATGCCACCAACGCTTATTATGAATGAAAGTTTTTTTTTGTACACAATTAACAAAAGATTCATTATAAACAAGTTGGCTGGTTTGCTATGAATTGTTAATATCTCAGAGCTGATATCTGAGGTTTCCTGACAGTAATGTGGCAACTTCTGGCTAGTGTTTTTTTCCATGATCAATACAATGTCTTAGAATATCCCAGTGACAAAATAAAGCTTGGCATGTGATAGCAGACAGCGTAAACAAGGAGCACAGGGAATGAAGTTGGACCCTCTGTCCCCACGTTGTTCATTGGACACAGGGAGCTGATGTATTTGTGAGCACGTTCAGGGGTGGGTGTATGAGGTGGCGGGGGGCTGACGTGAGTCCCAGCACAAGTGAATATGTGTTTATGCGTGTGTGCTTGTAGGCAGTGAAGGGAAAACAAAGTGGGCGAGTTGCTATGCAGCCAACAGGTAACTGGATGTCATGGTCCACATTCCTGGCAGAACGGGTTTGAAAAGCTTCTGTGAGAGGGGCCTGTTTGTGAGAGGGGCCTGTTTTTGACCCTGGCTCAGGGCCATTTGAAAAGAAAGTGGCTTTTATTTCACCATAACTCTCCTGTGTATGAAAGGTTATATTTCATTTTGAACACACAGGATAGAAAAATACATCATCTTTTCAGAAATGTCACTTACAGCAGAATGACTGTTTGCATGTGCTGGCATGTTTGTTCCATGTGTTCTGTGCTCATGTTTTGATGGACTATAGATATTTTTATGACACTAATAAAACTTGTCCAATGTATTTCACTAGGGAAAGGGTGGGAAAACAGTCAAGCACATACATGTGGACTCCAGCACGTACACATGCAGTGGAGTCGGGTGCTTTTTTTCCTTCACTCAGGAATTATTTTCCAGTGGCATAGCCTGCATCCGTGAATGCTTGGCAGAGATGTGTGGAGAGAGAGAGAGGGAGAGTTGCCTGTTTTGTTTTCCAGTGCCTGACTGTTTGTGGGAGAGCGAATGAATGTGTGCATAATGGGGCAGGATGGCACGTGCACTCTGCTGCCCTTCTGCCTCATTAGGCTGTTTACTTAGTAAAAGTAAGACAAGCAGAGAGGGGGATGGAGCAGAGCCTTGTATGCCCAGTAGAAAGGGGAAGGGAGGGTTTTGGGCTTTTTAAACTTATGAACAAACTCAGGGGTGAGACCTCCTTCATCCGAGGTGCATTCTGGGAGTGCTTGTTTACCGAGCACTCAGACCCACTGCTGTGTGGTTGGTGAAGTGGAATGAAAGAAGTCAAAGTGTGTGCCCCAGCTTTGACGTCATGCTGGGCCCCCTGACCATGTGCCATCTTGGCCCAGAAGTCTGAAGGTTTCCATTCCAACTGGACACCTCCACACCTTGACTCTACTGACTCTGCTCTCAGTGAAATGTAGCTGGGCTGGAATGAAAACCTGCTGACTCTCAGGTCAGGGTAATTTCTGGTTGAATGCCACCACTCTGGAGGAAGATGCTGTTTGTTAGGATCAAAGTACAGCCATAAGTGCCCCTGGAATTTAGCATTTGCCCCCCACCCCCAGATCCATGTGACAGCCCCCTTGGTGTGAAAAGTGACAGTACTGCTTCAAGTCAACAAAACCCTGCAGTCTAAAGATTTTCACAGCTAGATTTTTTTAGTGTACAACGTAGAGTCAGCTTAGATGTCTTAATGCCTTGCATAAGGGTCAGATATTTGTTTACCTCTTGTTTTGTCATGGGGCCAGCCCATGTGACTCTGAGGTGGTGTTTACCTCTGCCTTAACCCCAGCTGCCCCTTCTCCTCTTGCAGTCCTGGTTAGCTGCAGCTCAGAACAGGTGGATAGTCTGTACCAGCCCCAGATTACCCATGTCACCCGTCTCTGTTTCCACCTCCTCATCTGGCTAATACCTTTATCTGACAGCAACAACCAGCTCCGACGATTCAAGAAGCTTGATTAGCACAGTAAGACTATTTTTTTGTATTCAGTGCCTTCCCTAAAGAGTGTTTTATAATCATCAGACATCTAGGGGAAGCAGTAGGGTAAAAAAAAAATGAGTAAGGGAGGCTCCAAGTCTGGTGGCACCCTGCTGTGACGCTCCGAGTCCCTCCTGAGTGCTAGTGGCAGATGGCCACTCTCTGGAGGGCAAGTGTGTGAGAGCGTGTGTAGTAGGAGACGAAAGGGGGTGGAATAGGGGCAGTGCATTAAACACCTGCCACCTACACCCTATCTTCACACACATCCAAACACTCTTATTAGACTAATTTCCCTGCCTGCGCCCACGCTAGCACACGTATGCTGCATTTCCACTATCGGAACTAAACAGGCAGTAAACCCCATACTTCCCTTAACCATCACCAAGCCTCCAGGGTTGACGTGGACATCCTACTTTGTTTTTCCACTGTATTTTGTGTCTGTTGGTCTTTGTTTAGAAGAGGGAGGGGCTGCTCCCTCAGTCAGCTGTGTGTTTATACAAGGTGCTTGTAATGCTAATTCTTGAGGTGTGAAGACACAGACATTTAACCAATCACTGGTGACCGCTCTGCACACACGCACTCCCTCCCCCTGCATGGTCCTGGTACTTGTTTTTAGTACTACCTCCTGAGGGGTGCTGAAATTTAGCCCCCAAAACACACCTCCAAAGCGGGTTGAGTGTAGTGGAGACAAACACAGAACCCGTGACGAGAGTTACTCTGTCCAACATTTTTCAGTAGGTTCCTATAATGGAAAAAGCCGAATACAATCCTGTCTGTTTCTAATGCACTGATGACAACCCACCATCTCCACAGGCTGCAGAGAGCATGACCATCACCTTACATTGTGCATCTGTGTCAATCATCAGCCAGGTTAGAAGCATACATGTAGCATATTCTAGAGATGAATCAATTAATCATTTTATGGAGGCAAATATTATTGACTAGTTTAAGACTCAGTTAATCCTATATGTTAATTTTCAAGCAGAAATGCCCAGAATGCTCTGGTTCTGGCTTTTCTTTGTCTTGTGTCAGAATTTACAATTTGAAAAAGAAAGAGTGGAGAAATGTTTTGTATTAAATTAGGATGGATGGTTTTTGATTCCCAGCCTGGGGGGTTGGGCTCTGTTTTCATTTTCCATGTCACATTTTGTTCCGGTATTTCTGTAATTACCCATAAAGGTGACACCAGATTTTAGCCATCAGCTTGATTGTCCAATCCATTCTTTTTGCATCCCTGTACAGTAGCTCAAACACACATTTGCAGACTTGACACTATTAATTAGTTTCCTTACATCCTCATCAGACCTGCACTGAAGCTGAAATCTTGCAAACATTACAAATCAGAGCAAATAGCCAAATGAGGCAATCCAGAAAATGCCATGTTACTTGATATATAGAGAACAAACATGCACACGCAACACCGCAGGCTCTTGTGTCAGAGTTTCCAAGCAGTGTGCGTGTGTGTCATGGCACAGGGAGGAGGGGGACTAAAGTAGGCCAGGATGTTCCAGACAGAAGCACTAGCTGCTAGATAAATGCGTGGCCAGCGTTCCCCACATTTAGCCAGTCACAGCTCCAGATGAGATTACAGCCTCTGCAGGCGAGATTAGACGGCCACAGAGAGCAGCTGGGGAATACATAATGTAAGGTATGGGCATTCATTCACTCTAGTTAGACATGATGAAAATCAGCAGAAATCCTTCTTTCTGTTTGCATTACCCTCTCCTCCTCACATGTAGTCCACCAACAGAAGCTTTTTAAGAATAATAAAAATACCACATAAGCCTTTATAACTATCCCATTTCTTGCAATAATCAGTTTCTCTCTTTATGAATACTACCAGTGATGCACCAGATACTGTCCTGCTCACTGCCTCTGCTGCTAGCTGACACCCAAACACTCTACCAACCACCCTAGATTATGTAATTACGACTGTTGCTGACCAGCCTCCCCCCACTGTCCTTCAAGAGCTTCTGGCCAAACCGTTCTCCTGCCACTGGAAATAGAGTCACACACACATGCATGTCATGGCTGTAATAAACCAAAATTCAAACACAAAATTCACATAAACCAGTGACACCTCCTAAATCCCTCCTGTTTAGACTGTGTGTGCAGCACTCAGTGTTGTTATTATTCAGGCTGTTTTCCCAGTGTTTCCTTGTTACTGTGGGACAATAACACCCACTGTGTGAGTTCACACTGTACTGTAAGGCTCTGTTCTCTCAAACCTCTCATGTCTGCTGTCTCAAAGGTTTGCTTTTTGGCATCAGGTATTGTTTTTGGGAAAATAATTGGACTAAAAACTGGGTTTTACTTAGAATTTTTTTTCTTCTCTCAGTCACTCACATGAAACAATCATGTGCGATTAAAGGAGCTCTTAAAGCATGCCTGTGTTTTCTCATAGGAAATGCACTAGCTGCATTTTTATCTAAACTTTACTTTTATGTAATGATTGTGTATAATTTTTGAATGAGCATCTTTGATTAAATTAAAGAAATTTCTTCTTTCTTTCTTTCTATCTTTGATTAAATAACATCCCAATACCAAAAAAAAAGCTTTTTATTCACTAATTTGATTTGCCAGGTAAGTATCGACACACATTTGGCATGCTTAAATTGTTCAGCATTGTTGGATGTTCTGTAACATTAAAGGTACACTGTGGATTATTTTATTTATTTGTTTGTATATGAGTGAGTTCCCTTTTTTGTGTGATAAACATGGACTACCTATTGCAAATTTCATTCTCTTTAACTAATTGGAAGAATCTTAGCAAGTTGCCCGCAAAAGCATGGATTAAATGTTTTCAAGGTAGCAAACATTAGCTAACAGTATATGATGTGAATAATTTTAATGAATAGTGTCTTCTCATTTCTTTCAGACTGAGTGACTCTTCTGTTCTCTGACTTGGCGTCTTCACCAACCTGCTGCTCGAAAAACACTTTGCCCCCCACTGAACTCTGTGGCCCTACAAGACTGTCTGGACCCTCAGCAACACACAAACACATACACACACACACTTAGGAAAAAGCGGGGCACTATTTATGCATGTCACGAATTTGCTGAAGGCAAAACAGGTGTGTTTGTGTTCTGTGGGGTGGGTAGATGGGTGTGTGTGTGTGCGTGTGTGTGTGTGTATTCGTACATCTCATGTTCCTTATGCTTTCAGAGGCCATTTCTCCTTTGACCCAAATTTTGGCTCAAGCATCCAGCCATCCATCCATTTTCTAAACCGCTTAGTCCCAAATGGGGTCACGGGGGGCTGGAGCCAATCCCAGCCAGCTGCGGGCGAAAGGCAGGGTACACCCTGGACAGGTCGCCAGCCCATCGCAGTTGGCTCAAGCACAGAAGCAAAAATTTTCAGACAATAGCAAAACTCTAATGGTACCCAAATACTGTTTATTTACTTGAGGGTAGTTTTATGACTGCGTGTGTGTTTCTGAGGCAAAGTATAACCGGCTGGTATGTCAGTGAACAATGAAACCTCCTATAGAAATGGCCCAGGGAGCACAGATACCAAGGTACACTGAGTATATAACTATATTTAGATTAGATATCTTATTTATTTTTGGAAAATGAATGTCTGATAAGACCCACCCAATGCCTTAATGTCTATACTGTCCTTATGTTTTCTATGAAATGAGAGGTAAATATTATATTACAGTACGTCCGTGTGGACCTACATCTCTATCTTGTTATTCTCTTGCGGAAAAGCCTAGTTTACCATTTAAATATATTATTTCAAATATGTGCAGTACAGTGGGGCTGCTTGAGATCTGATTTATCGCATTGATATTAAAGTATTTTCTTAATTACTAATTTCTTATTTATTCTAACCTAGTTTATTTTTTGTCCAATCAAAGCGCTAGATTTAAAGAAGTATATTTCTAAATGTCTTTAAGAATTATGCATGCCTTTATAAGTCAGCTCAGACCCCACAAGACTAGGTATCTCAATGCACTGTACCTCTCACAGTTCCTCAGTCACTTGAGCCTGAACACCTCACACACTCCTACCTTCAAACCTACAGCCTGCTGTTTAATTGGACACAGGCCACCCTGCTGTGATATCATTTGATGGTACAACTGTCTAGCTGAGGTGATAATGGAGGGGTGAGCCAATGAAAATTGTCAAGGTTGAGGCACAGTCCAGATGGTTTTCTGTCAATGAGTGAGGGCTGAAGTGAAAGGGAAAAGGGGTGTCAGCAGTGCTGGACAAGCACTGGACACAGGAGAAATCGGCAATATGGAAAAAGTTGAATAAGAGAGGCCAACAGCCACTTCTGGCACCATCATGGAGGTTCAATGGAGAATCAACTGTCTGGAAAATCATGTAGCAGCATAACAAAAATTGAGCTGGTTGAAGAGAATTATGTAATATTAGCCTACAGGTTAAAGCAAAACTATGTGACACTATACCAGTTACTGGATATTGCTAAAACATAGTCCAAGTAAGTAAAAAAGAGTCTTCAAGTCAGTCTGTGTACAGCAGTAACATTATGAATCTAATGTTTGCTAAGATTAGCCACCATTATAATGAACCAAGCAGTTGTCTATAATTGTTTAGTGCAAGACTATATAATGTTTGCTTAACAACCATCACTGTGGCCACAAGTATTAATTTCAGGATAGTGATAAATGCTGACATGTAATATAACAGTGGTATAAGTGGAGGAACATTTAAAAAGTAAGCCAATAAATGCAGTAATGTTTGCTCATGTTAGCTAACATTAGCTACTGATTGTACCAAATCTGTAGCAAGAATGTGTTTTATTGCTGATTATTTCAACTTTTCAATTGTGAGAAGTAGAATGTGCTATTTTTTTCCAAGGGCAGGATCTAACGTAACTTTTTAATCATCTCCTGTCACAAATGGAACTAAAATGGTAAATCCCACTGCTTCCCAAGAGCTTTGAGCCTTCAACATGGCTGCCAGGTGGTTTGGTAAGATTATCTGGAAAGTCCTCTATGGACGTCTTGACTCTGTGGTCTTTGTGTAGTCCACTGTATCGACTCCAACGGGCTCACAACCCCTTAAGTGTACAGTAGATTGTAAAACTATGTGTGAATGTATCGCTGAGCTGGAGAGAACACCACACAAACAAAATGTGGGAATGATTTTAACAGAGTTGAACAATATTGGAGTTTTACCATGCTGTTGTGGTATCTATTTATCTTCAGAGTCTTGAATTGTATATTATGTACATAGAAAGAGTTTAACTAAAAGATTCTATTAAAAATACATAGAATACTTAGATTTTACCTATGTTGCAATGATATTCCTGTGTAAAGATTTTGGCTGCAGATTTTTAAAAAGGGGATGGGGTTTTTGCTTTGAGGTTGTACAGTGTATTGTATAGTTTTATCTCTCACAGTCTGTGTGACTACATGAAAAAAATACTCTGTCTATTTTATTATAGTTTATTATATTGCCTTGTTGACACACTTTACCTAATGGCATATGCAATTGGTGAGATGAATAGAATCTAGTTTACAACTGTGGAACCAAATGTAACATTTTCTTCTTTTTGTGAAGAGCAGACAGTGTTTTGCTCCTTGTACATTTCTCTTTCTGCCAAGTGTTTTTTTGTTGTTTGTTTTTGTCACAGAAAACTTTGTTCTTGACATGTCTCAAAGCGTTTCCCATTTCTGTGTCCATGGGCAGATTCTTCTTTTACAGATTGATCTTGGATTGACTCTATTTGAATGTGTTGTTGTCTTCCTTTGTACATACTGTATTTCAATATACTGTTTATTGTGATGCTCACAAGAGATGACTATAATGATTTATAAATTCTGGTAGTTGAGTATTGCTTTTGTCTGTATTGATTATGGATAGCAGCCTACAAAAATAAATGAATTTATTTAAAGAGGTACCATTTTGTTTTTGAGTTTTATTTCCAAAAGCAGTCTAATGTACAAATACGATGGTGTAATATTCAGGTCTTCTCAGCATAACTAGATATTAAAAGAGATTTTGTCTTTCAAGTGTTACATAGTCATTTGTATTTCTCCAGATGACTGTGATTTAAATTAATCTAATAGTTGTATCTGCCTTAAAGTGTGGACAAACTGATTTTAGGTTTATCGTTCTCTAAATCACTAATTATAAACCTCATGAGACTCCAAATCCCATCCTACCCCTCCTCTTCTCCCTGACCCACTGGAATATCATGCTTTTGGCACAAAGTCAAATAGCTTCCGGACTGTGTGTTGAAAGAAGAGGATATCCTACGTCTGTGAGTGAGGAGCTGAACCATTCATGACACTTTGTCTCCCTGCTAGTGTTTTTATTCCAGATGGAGGCTGAAACAGGAAGCTCATTCTGAGCTAAGGACTTCCTGCCAAGCCATGCATCTCCAGAAATGTCTGTGTAATTGCAGCAAGGAGGCTAGGAGGTTCAAATCATGAAGCAAACACCACATTTCACTCTACCTCCCCCACATGCTCACATATCAAAAGCTGTCACACAGGAGCCTTGTGTTTCTCTACCAGACAGTTATCTTAGTAGCCATCATTGTAACATTTTGCTATATTTTCCACTGACCAGGTTGCATCACTTATCATTAGCTATTTTGAAGTAATTGTGTCTGATTGTGTCTTTCTCCTCTATTCATGGATGCTCTCAATAATTCCTAAATTTAGAATCTCATAAACAGTCACATACTTATACATGCAAGAAAGAATTCACTGTGGCTGTGATACTGAAGCAGTGAAAGATACATCATTGTATGATACGGAGATTTGATTTCTTAAAATGTGTGCCTTTTTTTATATGAAGAGAAAAAAACTTCTCATTTTAAGTTATATGAATTACTGTTTTTGTTGTTTCCACTATAAAGCCAATTATTCTGTTGTATTTTATTCTGTAAATGATGTGAGGAGTTTTCTTTAAACACCAGCACCAGTTCTGTCTGTTCCATGTGTCACTTTCAAAAACCATAAGTTATTGTAAATTAGATAAACAGATTTGATTTGATTTATTCTTTCAAGCATGTAAAGACAGTTGATATGTCAACACACATAATTTTATACATATCCAACAAATGTTAATCCAATATCAATTTGCTTATACCTAGAACATGGTTGAATGGAGTAGGAAGAAGTCAGACTTATCCAGTCCTACCCCATGACATCATCTTACCATCATTGGTTTGCAAGCAGTATCTCTACATAGATAATTCTCTTCTACACCACACAAGTAATATACTAAAAAATTATAACAGAGTGTTAACATTCTTACATAATTACATTCTTAAATAATTATCTTCTACACCACACAAGTAATATACTAAAGAATTATTACAAAGTGTTAACATTCATACACCACCACACCCACAATGTTCCATCTAATTAATCATTAAGCCTGTTCTT